GCCGCCCCTCGCGCCCTCCGCGCCCCCCAACTCCAAGCTGGCGCATCCTGGAGTCTGTGTGCAGATCTCCAGGCCCGTGCAGCGCCCCAGCCCTCGGCCGCCCGCTGACCCGGGACTCCGCAGCCCGCCGGGGCGGTTGGTTTAATTGTGCACTCTCCTTTCACAGCCCCCACCCAGGACCGCCTAAGCCGATGGCACTGCCCGTTCTGCCCACTCTTTAGTGGCCTCCCGGACATTGGCACGGATGCAGCCTTTAACTCGCATGACTATACACTCCCTCCCTGGGCTCTGGTAAGGCCAGCTTCCCAAACTCATTCTCAAACTGCTCACCTCTCCGCGGACATCTCAGCCTCCGGCGGCAGCTAGATGCCAGGACCCTGGATGGCCCTCCTCCCAGGAATGCTGGGAATCCTTTTCTTCCGGAGTAGCCAGGCCTGGACACCCACACGCCATACAGATCATGCCCAGCTTGAGCTCTGACTCAGGGGTCTGACTTGCCCCACAGGTAAACAGGACATAACACAGAGCCCGCATTCCCTCGTGGTACCACACCCACCTCCAGCTGCCTCCTCACCCTCCTGACCCGCACCTGTAGCCCAGGTTCCGCTGTAGAAGGTAATAGTGCAGACTCTACGGCCAGATCCTAGGCTCCAGCACTCAGGAGTTGTGACACCCGAGCAAGTTACCTAACTTCTCTGGGCTGGCTGGTTTCCTCATTTATACAATGTGGGTAATACAGTGTTGAATGAGCTTATATATATATGCAAGGTGTTTAGAATAGGGCCTGGCCCACAGAAAAAAGGACGTGTTAGCTCCTTTTATCCTGTGCCCCCCCAGCCTATGTTGTGTTGACTTCTCAAAACCCAACATTTGCAACACCCGTCTCTTTTGGTCAATACAAGCTGGGCTTCTCTGCTCACATGGCGTTCGCTGGCTTTAACAGGCAATGTAGAGCTGGTTTTGTTTTTTAACTAGATTGCTACAACCCTAAAAGATAATCTTTCGTGAGGAGGTATACCATTATTTGAAAAGAGATAGTTCAGAACTTCTGAGTTGTTGTCTTCACGGTCCTGTGGGGGAAGCTATCCACTTACACCAATGATGCTGTCATAATTCAAAGCTTTTTGGCAACTTCTCTTCTCTTTGGAATGTTCTGAGGTCTCCTCACATCTTCTTTTATTTACTTATTTTAAGATTATTTATTTATTTATTTGAGAGAGAGAGAATGAGCAGGGGGAGGGGCAGAGGGAGAGGGAGAAGCAGACTCCCCACTGAGCAGGAAGCCTGACTCAGGGTTCAATCCCACGACCCTGAGACACTGAGACACTGAGACCATGAGACCATGACCCGAGCCGAAGGCAGACATTTAACCGACGGAGCCACCCAGGCACCCTATCCTCACATCTTTTAATATCTTTGGTTGATGATTATATCTTAAACTTTTAGGGTAGATATGATTATATAAATGCTTCCAAAGTGTTTGACAGCCTAAGCCTCTCTGAGCTCCAGACCTTCCTTTCTTGTCTTCAGGAACCCAAAATGATGATCTCCCTTGTCCCAAGTTGGCACCTCCTCCAGCGTTTCTCACCCCTTTCTTTCTTTCTTTTTTTTTTTAAGATTTTATTTATTTATTTGACAGAGACAGACACAGCGAGAGAGGGAACACAAGCAGGGGGAGTGGGAGAGGGAGAAGCAGG